TGCACATTTGAGCTAGTGCATTTGCAGCTCAAAGTCCTCCATCATTCTGTCGCTCCTGTCAGCCTGAAAGCTTGAATTTCAATCTACTGCACGGAGGCCCTTTAGGTAGTTGGCTCAGGAACCGTGTTTGTTTTACTTTGGTCTGAGACACTCTCAGGGACAGACGTTAATTCTCTAGCCTGATGTACTGTCAGACTTCAACTAAATTGTTCATCAACTTAACTGAAATTGGCATTTTTGGCAATACATCACGGCCATCCTAATGCTGCCAGTGGCCTTTGAGCCGGTCAAGGATTTTTTTGCTCTAGTGACATCTTCAGGTTAAACTATAAACTATGGACAGGCTGACCATTAGTCACCCTTCCTTTTGAAAGCCCTGCTTTGAAGTTGAATACATACTTTAGCACCATGTCTTCAGTATTTGAGCTGCATCTCAATATGTATCAGAATGTGGTTACTTTTTTACAGATCTTTTACCACTTACAATTCAGTCTGCTCCTTTTTTATAAACATAATTAAGTAAATCCTGAAATCATTTGCCATCATTTGTGTAACATGGTGCACATTTGTGACCACCACTTAATTTTTCAGGCTTGTTAGTGCCATTAATTTGATACAATTTTAATTTAGGCTGGTCTTTAAGAATGCATGCTCTTACAGTCTGTGACATTTTAGTTAATGTACTTTAGGATCTAAATGGAGGTAATTTGTCCTTTTCCATTCACCGAGCTAAACTAAACTCAAGCTTTACAAAAAAATTCAAAAAGAAAGACTATAACTTACAGCTAAATTAACTTTACATTGATCCAATAGAAATGAAACTGCTTCTTATATATGTGTAACAATAAATTAGGCTCGTTACATTAAACCATTGGAATTGCCTGAGGACTTTTTGCCTTTACTCCTTTAGGAATTTCTTCTCTTGCTAACCCAATATGGCCCCTGGTTTCCCCTCGCGTGCCCCGGCACGCAGACGCTGACTGTCACGCTCTCGAGCTTCAACTTACGCGCCAAATCTCCGCCGTGTT